TGTACATCAGAAAATGCGCCTTGAGGCATGGAACATATGTACCAAATATGCCAAAGATGTCTACAAAATTATTTCAGTTATTATTAAAAAACTGAATATTTTTGAAAACTTTGCCACTCTGTATCTCAAAAGTTAAGGCGTTTAGGACATACGTCCATAGGAAGTTTTTTTCTTAAAATGGGTCTAAGAATTACCTCCTTAAATATTAGCATGTGTTTAAGGAACACCCTGTATAAAGACATTCTGTAGTATATGTAGTATCTACATTGCACTCGTGCGGAGCCGGGGCGGTTCGCTAGTCGTCAATACAGCAGGGAGCAGTGTCATGTTGAACAGAATCCAGACAATTTTGAAATCAATTCTACGGTCTCCTAAACGCGTCAACCTCCGCTTTGTTGCGAACGGCCCAAGTGTCCCCAGTCCTATCTCATGTGACACATCTTCCTTGCCAACTCGATTTCCAGATGTCGTGATTCACTGCCTCTAGTGTGATAACTTGTAATTGGATGCAACTACCCGTAATTCCTTCTGAGACAACGTCTGTATGGCTGGAATTCATCTGATCCGTCGTCATTGTGCTGATAACACCTAGCGGGATGGAAACAGTTCATTCTCGATTTATGGATACAATATGAGATTCTGGATAGACGGCCGACCCTGAGAACTTGACGTGCTCCGGCAGAGGCACAAAGCCCTGATGGAAATGATATACTTCGCGTCTGTTTCAACGACTGGGGCTGATGTGGTTGGAATGGAGACACGACGTGTGGTTGTGTTTGAGCAGTAATTGCTGATTGTAAGGCGGGAGAAAGCAGCAGGCACATTATCCAAATGTACTGTTGGTTTAGTCCCTACACAGGATTTTTCAATGTAATTGACTATATGCGATAAATTCATCCATGCTGACAATTTTTAGTTGAACTGGTTAGTCAAATCATTCTACTTGATTACTTTCGTTGAAAAACTTTTGAATGATCCTGATCCACCAAGTTGCTTCACTGCTCGAAAGTTCAAGTTGAATTTGTGAAAATGGTTAAGATTATTCATCGTTATGTGCTACAATAACTTTATTTGAAAGGCCTCAGCCCAACTAATATGAAAGCTGAACTGGATTCTACTCTGGATGAGTCTGCTTCTTCGTTAACAACAGTGAAATATTGGGTAGCAGAGTTCAAAGGAGACGGTACGAGCATCGCAGTGATCGACCAAATGAGGTGAAGACTCTAAAAACAGTGATGAAAATCCACAAAGCGCTACTGAATGATCGTCGACTAAAAGTGCGCGAGCTGGCAGACTTAGTAGGCATGAAGAAGATACTATGTGTACACCACCTGATATAATTGAAACAGCAATTAGAGCTGCAGCAGATTCATTACCATTCGTCTCTTCCAACGCACCTACGCAGTAGATTCTGGTGAATTCCTACCGGAAAACAACTACTCCCATGGCTAATACCACGATGAACATTGAAATATATCCGACACATGACATTATGCACGTTACCTGACAGAGGTTAGTCTTGCAGATACTTTGCCTCCATCCAACAGCAGGGTCGCCCTAAAATCAGTCAAGTAGATCACCTACATGCCATTTGTTTGCAGGTGGTTGACAATTTTTCATGATGGATTTCATTAGTTCGAACTTCCATTGTCTAATAGCACATCAACAACGTAAGTTCTTCCATGAATTTCAAATGGAGAAGGAAGTCCACAACGAATTGCCATTCTTAAACGTATTGTTGGAAAGGACCGACACTAAATAGAAATCATCTTGATATCGAAAACCCACTCACACGGGACAGTATCTGAACCAAGAACCCAACCAACAACAGTCAACTGAGAGAGGAATCATCAAGACTTTAGTAGATCGTGCTTTTGAGCTCTGTGATACAAATGAAGGCTTCGAAAAGGAACTAGGCATAAAAAAATGACCTTCAACGGAAGGGTTACTCCAGAGTGATGGTAGAACAGGCTTTAGCTGGAAGACAGCAAGAGCTCCACAAGGAAGAGAAGCCTCCACAACCAGTACTTGTACTTCTTTACTTCGGAGGACTGTCGTAAAGGATAAGAAGAATTGGGACCAAGTATAACATCAGAACCTGCTGCAGATCTGGAAACACTATCCGTAGCAGCATCACGAAAACCAGGTCACCAAACGCGGACCGCGATTCTAAGAATTGCATTTACCGGATACCCTGCGAATGCGGAGAATCATACATCGGTGAAACTAAGAGGTCATTGAAAGTTCGCATTGCCGAGCTCAAGAAACACACACAGCGAGGAGAAATCAGGAATAGCTGAGCATGTTTGGTCTCATCAACAAAACATCAAGTGGGCTCAAGCTGAAATTATACACAGGGAGGAACACTGGTTCAGAAGAAAATTTAAAGAAGCCGCATATATGTTGTCCAACAATGCATTTAGCCAAGCTAGCGTAGAGATACGCTGGTTTTGCTGAAAGGAGGTTGGGTATGTCTTATATTGTAATTTTTTCCAACTAATTCCTCATCTGACATAAAACAAAGCACATATATTCACTGAAAGGAATTGAATTTTGTCTGAGAACAATATTATAGGTACTTGTTACACTGTAACTTTTGTCCTCTAGCTTGGACCATCTCTATACCCTGCAAGTGCGGAGAATCATACATCGGTGAAACTAAGAGGTCATTGAAAGTTCGCATTGCCGAGCACAAGAAACACACACAGCGAGGAGAAATCAGGAATAGCAGAGCATGTTTGGTCTCATCAACAAAACATCAAGTGGGCTCAAGCTGAAATTAAACACGGGGAGGAACACTGGTTTAGAAGAAAATTCAAAGAAACCGCATATATGTTGGCCAACAATGCATTTAGCCAAGCTAGCGTAGAGATACGCTGGTTTTGCTGGAAGGAGGTTGGGTATGTCTTATATTGTAATTTTTTCCAACTAATTCCTCATCTGACATAAAACAAAGCACATATATTCACTGAAAGGAATTGAATTTTGTCTGAGAACAATATTATAGGTACTTGTTACACTGTAACTTTTGTCCTCTAGCTTGGACCATCTCTCATCTCGGAGTGTGATAGAAGAAGTATTGAAGGAATAGTTTCTTGTGATCAGTAATGCCAGATTTTTAATTGTATATTCTAGAATTGGAAACTTTGGATTAATCACGATTCAATAAGGAATTGATTAATGCCTCCATTCGACTTGTCCAACTCTGGAAAATAGTGGAGGCTTGGTGTGTTTAGAGAGGAATGACTTCAATCCAGCTTTGCAGACAAAGTTATTGTTAAGAGTGGTCCAAGAAGGAACTTTAAAATATTGTTTTACAGTTTTTTGTAGTTCTCAGGAGTAGTTTTCTTTTCATTCACACCAACAAGGGGAGAATTGTGTGATTGAGAGAAAAAACCAACTGAAGTTACACATTCAAAAGACAATGAAATGGATTTGACTATTGAATTAAGGATCAGAATAAGAAAATCAGACTTAAAACCGAACCCAGTATTGGAAACGACTAATATGGTTGCCACAGTGGAAAACAATTTATACTTTGGCTCAACCAACATTGATTACCAAGAATCCATTCATTATTCAGATATTTCCACTACAAAGTCAATATTTAAAAAGATATCACCTAGAAATGGGTCGATATATGAATTGCCGTTTTTCTTATCAATTGCAACATAAATATCATCAACAGTCTATCAGCATCCTATAAACAGAGGTCAGGCAGGGAAAATAAGAAAGTCACCTTCACCATATTTGCATCCTGAAGTTATCAAAACAAAAACTGAGATAGTGTCTGAATCTTGTTCGATCTGACAACACTTGCCGAATGGCGTCTCTCAAAAGTTTCCAAAATGTCTTGTTGATAATGATGATGACCGGTGAAATATTGTTTGGAATTCATTCCACGTCAAAGGTAAGTCGTTTACAGGTTTTGAGGTTTGAGAAAGTAATTAATAGATTTACCGAGCAAATTGGAACAAAAAAACAGCTATTTTGTACGAAGCACGGAGATTTGCCTGCTATCAACATCTCCTTCATCATATTCACTCAATGAGAGAGGCCAAATTCTTGTTAACAACGCGAAATCGACTGCCTCGGATTCTCCTGCACACTCTCACAGACAGCGGCGATGTTTTTGGCAGATCTTGCGTTTCGTCGACGTACGGGTGTTGGTCGATCTTTACTGAATCCGTGGACTCAAATCGATCCACCACATTGCGAAAATTCTTCTCGGTGGGGCCATTATGGCGACCGTGAAATGGGCGAAGCACGAACAGAACACCTGGAAGACCCCCGTCACTGAAATTGTTCGTAATAAAATTAATGTATAGTTTCGATGATATTATTTCGATTGATTTTTTCGAAAAAATTATACTTTTGCTTACAGATAGACGGGAATATTACCAGAAACTCAAATAATAAAAAGTATACAATAAAAATGGACTTGGAGATTGACGAGGGCACCGAAAAAGATACGTAAGTTTCTGCTGACAAAAGTAGTTGACAATCCAAAACGAGTAGTTTTTCAAAGCACTAGAACTGAATTAGGAAAGAATCAGTTTTCTTCATTTCCTGAAGACCCCAGCTCGATTGATAAAACATGCCTCGAGAAGAGGATTGCAGTTCTGGTGTTTGATAAAAGTGCTTGTTTTGAATTGTTTTCACGGCAGATGTTCCAGTGTCATCTTTTATCAAGATTAAATAAGTCAATCAAATGGAGATTGTTCCGAAATGCGTCTTTAAAACCAATCCATCCATTTTCTTCATTTCAATTCCTCAAGGTATTTTCAACAACTTCCTCAAGCAAGACTTCACCGAGTTTTGATTCTCTTAATGTTACTGTTTGAATGTTATTAGAAACATTAGGAAGCTCTCCTAAAATATAGCTTGTCAGATGAAGGAAGAGACTATAGATTTCTCTCTCTCTCTATCTCCCTCTATCTCGCTCTCGTCTTCTAACGAATGGGCATCTACTGGGCGGGTCCATAACGGAATTCAGAAAGCTCTTCCTACATTCGATAAGCTGAATATTTGAAACAATAAAATAATCAACTCAGATCATTAATAGAGATGGAGCTCCATTTCTGTAGAGCTGTAACTTCCTACAAAAACACTTAAAACTGCTGTTACAATTCCACATCAACAAATAATTTTTGGTCCCTCAACTTTCAGTTGTCAGTAATATTTTCATGAGAATACCTGCCGCATCTATATTTTTTCAAGGAAGATTTTTATTCGAAGCTGATTCAGCAGTTATGGGCAATTATCTTATTTCACTCAATTCTCTTTTATCCGTTAGGTCTTCTCCACCGAAATGGATACAAGAGTACTGTAAATCTAAAGTGGGAATCAGCAGAGTCGCATTTCCTTGTCAGCTGCCTCTTGAACGAAAAAACAAAGATTTGCCAAGGGATTGTAAAGAAGTTCAATCTAGAGGTCAGTAGTAAAAAGCATGACTCCATTTATCCATTAAAAAACATTGGTTTCATATTTTGAAACGGATAAATTCTTGGTTAGAACATCTCTTCCTAGCTTAGATTTTCTGAGTTTCAGGTTATAATACTTCTGGTGTTTATGAAATCCAGCCTAACAAAAAAAGGCCTTCCTTCATGGTTTTGTGTGATATGGAAATAAAAGGAGGAGGATGGACTCACATCCATAAAAGATTCGATGGGTCCGTGGACTTTTACTTACGCTGGAGGGAGTATAAATTTGGATTTGGTGATCTGAATGGAGAATTCTGGATCGGACTTGAGAATATGCATGTGCTAACAGGTATAGATTGAACTGCAATTAATAGAAATTGAAATGATTTTTAAGAGAAACGTATTTTTGATCGATGAAAATTAATCGAAAATGTATCATTTATATGGACAAGATTTCTGCCCTAGTGGTCGAGAGATTCGAAAGTAGCAGGGGCATTATTCCGCCAAGACCTCTAATAATCAGTACAAACATTTCAACAGAGTGCTCTGGATAGAGTCTGCGGAGTTCGAAGAGGAAATATCGATACTCCATACGGAGCTGGAAATTCCACCACTAACAGCGTCTTGCCATGATGTTTGAGAAGAACCACATCAGGCTTCCAACTTGTAAGAGCCTGTGGCAATTCATTCTCTACCATGGAATAAATATTCCCAGTGTTCCGTCAATACCGTAAAAGAGCTGTAGGTGGTAATAAAGCAACCTTCGGGCTGCGTTATATCGCAGGTGTTGAAGATAATATCCTGACAGGTCATGATGAACCCCTCAATTTCCGACTCCAGTCCACTCCACCTGAGGAAAGCGAAGGTATAGCGCTTTGTAGAGCCTAGGTCTTCAATGCTGTTGGAGAGGACCCCCATGCATTGGCTCATCTTTGTGTTGCCGCAGGAGTGAAGTATTTTCTTCTGCTTTTATGTGGGTCAACTTGATGACAGAGTTAAGATCAACTCGTTCAGTAGGCATTGAAATCTGATGACAGTTCATCCGCCGGCCAGAAGAAATGCTCCAAGTCCTGATCATGGTCGCTGACTATGCAGATCAATTGACTCGACCTTCTGATGACTTTAGAGGCTCTATCCAATACCCTTCTATCATGTAGACAATTTGGGTGCACGCGCCTATGGAGATACATCATTTTTGGTGGCTTTCATTACTATTATCATCATTGTGATTATTACGAATGTTAACAAACCTTTAATCTTTCTTCAGCACTAGATCTCGATAAAACAGAGCTATTAGTGGAAATAGTCACTAGGGGAAATGAATATGGATATGCCCACTATAAGGATTTCAAAGTTGGATCCGAACCAGATGGGTATCCTTTGGAACGGTTGTCTGTTTACAGTGGAGATGCAGGGGATTCCCTAGATTGGCATCGAGGGATGAAATTCACCACACAGGATGTTGATCAAGATAAGTCCGATGAAAACTGCGCGGTTTTTGCTAGTGAGTATGATTGGCTTGTCAATCAGAAATTTCTAAAAATCAGTACGCATGTCATGAATATTGATTTCCAGCTTTTCACTTTTTTATTATAATGATCAAAAACATACGACTTGAACTGTTGGGCTTGAAATTTCCAAAGTCTTCAACGATGTTTGGCATGGGGGTTCACTGACTGAGCTTCAAAATCAAGGCCTGGTAGTTTCCAGTACTGCCTTGGATGCTTATCACTTAGTTTTCTGGGGGTTTCATAAGACATGGTGGAGATATGATACTGTTCGATTCCATAATTCAAGTACAGTTGATCCAAACGTTTTTCCTGGCCAGACACATTTCATTTCCAAACATTTTTACTTGTAGGACCCAATATTGTATCTACCTCTATACGTGTCTCGGTAACGATGAAAGACTCATCGCTCATCGTTATCTGCCGTAATGAGCCATAGTAAATACCCATCTCGTTCACAGGTTTCAGTACAGTTCAGTTTCCGTATATACTGTAATCGTTCTTGTTTAGGCCTTCACTATCTTGTCCACATATCTGATTGGTGGCGGTTCCAGATGGTGATATTGTTCGGTACGCTGATCCAATAGCCGTCTGTGGTATGACTGCCATCAAGTCTATAATACAAATCTTGCTCATTTCCAGATGATTCTTCAGGTTTTTGAGGTGTCTGATGATCTGTTATGAATTAACTCCTTTCAGATGTCTCTCAAATCCATGATTTTTTCCAGTAAGACCAACATTTTTGTACTAGAGCAATATCAGACTTTCATATGACATTCATAAGGACTCACAAAACCCCCTTACAGAGTTGACTTGTACGATCCTCAAAACTAGTCAAAAGTTTCGCCCATAGAGCGGGCGAAACTTTGAGCCATAGTTAAGGAAATTATTTTGTACCTTACAAACGTCCTCTCGTTCATTGGTGTTAATTCAGGATACATTTGGTTGCATTTTTTACACGTTCTGACAATGATTTGATCACTTTGTTCTTGTGTATAATAAATAATTTCATTAGAACTTCGTTTGAATAATCGATATTTGCATTCATTTTGGAAGATGATTCGAAACACCGTCGATAACTCTTTGTAAATTACTTATAAAAGTAACAGAACTGCTATAAGCTTGATAATTCCACTGCTACCTAAATCCAAATTCTAAAAAAAAAGTTTCTAGAAGAAGCGACTTTATACAGGTGGTTCCATTTGAAAAAATGAACTTTTAACTACTTTTATGCACAATGGAAATAATAGTAATTTTATGATATGGAGTCGATTTCTTGGTGTTATTTGAATATTTCGAGTTTGTCCAAACTATCATCAGAATATCAACTTTTCATGAATTGAGAGTACTGTTGTACTTAATTTCAATTAAGGCTATGTTTTGGACCATATTTAGCACAATTTATTTTTTATCTCGAAAATAGATAGAGATAGGTATAGGACATTATTAATAAAAAAAGTATCAAAATACTAGAGCGATTAAAAAAATGTATTAATATACGGGGTGTTCCTTTTGAAAACATATAATTGCTAGGACTTTTTGATAGAAGTGGCAACGCCGCAATGCTGAAAATATTTTAGATCGATAGAACAGGTAAGGAAATGTGAGAGGTGAAATTTCCAGAAAAATCATGTTTTGCGTTTTCGTCTAACCTACCATCGACCGTGAGTCACGCTGTATATGCAGTCCATCTAGCCTCTCTCTCCAGAAAAATGTGGAAAGGAGGTAGATCTACAAGGATCGCCATGGCCGGTGATGGCACCACTGATGGCAAGACAATCCTGTATCTGTTTCGTTCACACTTATTATCCATTCTGTTTCTTCATTTATTTATGCATTCTAGTATGAGGAAGGGGATGCCCGATTCCTTGCAGCGCTTTGAATGGAAAGAAGGATGAATATTCTAGGACAGGGATTCCTAACCGGCGGTACGCGTTTGGGTACCCCTGTCCTGCTTGATGTGGTTGCAGATATCATTGTTCTCTTGGAAGCTTTGAGGAGGAGATCGCCTAGTATCCCAGGCTCTGTTGTCAATACCTGATAATGTTCAGCTCCCATTCATTCTTTGATATAAGTGGCACCACTGGTTTGAGCTCCAATCAGAGTTTTGTACCTGTTACTGCTTCTCCCTACTTATGCTCGTCCCTATCAAACATATCTGACTGTCCATCAGACCCTTTTTAATGGTTACATAGATAATAATTAATGTCTGTCCATGATTGCATCAGCCAGAGTAATCGTTGTTCATCGAGGTTGGATAGCTGGAAAATCAAATGTTTCGAGTGAAGTGAATCTTCTCTATTTTCCAGAAGGGGCATATTGGTATAACAATTGCTTTGCAAGTAACCTCAATGGAGAACTTATCAACCACGAAGTCCCAGGAAGAGTGAGAGAAGGAATGAGTTGGGATTCCTGGAAGAATTACGAAGGACGAAGTAAAGTTTTGGCAAAGGCCCGAATGCTTATCAGATCCAGTGTTGAACAACACCAGGCAGCAAACCAGCCAAACGAACCTGCTATGCTGACGCTAGGTTGAGCCACAGATGTATTGTCAAAATCGATGTTGGAATCATAAGCCATTATATTATTTGAATTTTGCAACTTTATTTCAATGAAAATATCATTAGATTGAGGTGACGATGAAGAGGGTGTTCTTTTTCAGTTCGTTTTAGATGGCTTCAGACAAACTTTTCATAGCATACAGTTTTGCTTGAGAAGAGAAGGAAAGAAATTGTGGAAGACCCCATGCACAGGTTCATCTATATGTAGCCAGAAAAGCCGGCCTGTTTCTGGATCCGGTACTTGCAAAGTTCTCCACTGAAATATTCTGATATTGCCCAATACGATTTGAACACTCAGCAAAATAAAAGATTTTCTCTGCTTTGAAAAATATATTTTTAAAACGATATTTTGTACTACGATCGGCGTACAGTTTCTTGAAGATGATCGTAGGTACGTACAACTCATCTTCAAAACTTCTTTACTGAATTCTTGTCTTCCTTTTAATCGCTTCTTTGCATTACTGGTCCAGCTTTAGCTCCAGTCACCATTTTTTATTCATCAGTCAACAGACTTGCTTTTCAGGTTGTCTTTTTCTTTCCTTTTTGTCGTACACCAACTATCAATAGTCCAGGCGATGGCTGTGATATAGGTCAGTAGATTGAGGATGTGGAGGGTAAGCACATAACTTCCAACTCGTTCTCGAATCCAGCCTACGAAAAATTAAATAAACGTAGTTATATGGAAAAAAACGAACATATATTCATTGTGTTATTCTACAATAATGTTGAAAAGTACATATTAGCCAATGCCGATACTAACTTCTGGTCACACTTCAGCAACTTTTGATGCTTCATAAAGCTCAGATCGGAACTTCTTTGAAGTATTGTTCTCAGATATGGAGCTTCACCCCTAAGCATACCCTGAAGCTGCTGGGAATCCACCCAGAAAAGATACTTTCACGGGAGGTGTTCAAGTCACTTGGCACCTTTGATGCCACCAAGAGGGGTACATAGAAATACGCGAACCAGCTGTGGCTGCTCATCTCAAACTTCACTGTTTGAGAAAGGTTCTAACTCAAAATTCGAATAAGAAACATCATTGTGGATCAAGAAAGACTAGGTTGACTGAGTTATTGGTTGTTGTGGTTCCAAACAGACATGACTGATCATTATACCCCTTTTATTTACATTTCAGCACCCCTTTGCATGTAAGCACAGAGGATCATCAACAATTTCATCACCTAAATCTACAAAAATTAGATAACTTATTGAGCAATGAAAACTGGGAGATTATTCTAAATAAAAACAATACACAAGCTTAAAACTGTTTCATCGACAAACTGAAAACTAACATAGATAATGCAACTGAAATTGAAAAAATACATAAAATAAAGAAAATCAAACCATGGATCACCGGTGGAATAATTACATCAATCAAACAAAGAGATCATCTTAAACATCAACTAATTAAAACATATTCACAGGATTTAGAGATCAAATATGAAAACCACAGAAACAGACTTAATCAATTGATTAGAAACACTAAAAATGAATACTATCAGACAGAAATTGAAGAGGCAAATGGGGACTACAAAAAACTCTGGAATATAATAAATGATGCATCTGGCCAAAACTATTAAACATATACACAACCATATTACAACACCCCTACCTCTGCTTTGAAACATCTATATTACCACTACAATGGAAAGAATCTGTCATAACCCTAATTTTCAAAACAGGAGACACCACACACAGACCCATTTCTGTCATCAACAATTTTGCCAAAATATCTGAACACGCTTTGAAAAACAGGCTGCTTGATTTTTGCAACATGCACAAAATTATAACTGACAGGCAGTACGGTTTCATTAAACAATCTAGTACTGAAAATGCCATAGCTGATTTCTTCGAAAAAACAGTGCAAGTGTTAAACGAATTATCAAAATGTGTGGGACCTTGCTAAGGCCTTTGATACGGTCTCACATAACATCGTTTAAAAAAAAATAGAATACTATGGAATTCGAGGTAACGCATTGGACCTGACTTGAAATACAGGACACAAAAAGTGAAGATTGAAAGAGAAGTGAGCTCAGAATTGACTGTCAAAATGGGTGTACCACAAGAGACTATTCTGGGGCCATTCTTTTTTTTGTTTATATGAATAATATAGTTCAAATATAGTACGAGACTTGTCGTCCAACATAATATGCTACGCCAATGACACAGTTCTGATATTCACAGGCACAAGCTGAGAAGAAATGAAATCAACCGCAGAAGCAGATCTGAGAAATTTGCAAATTTGGCTGGACCATAACTTACTCACCCTAAACGGCTCTAAAACTGAATTCATACCTTTTACACCTACGGTTAATACACAACCCACTACAGATTATTCTATAAACCTTCACAAAACAACTTGCACGGACACAAATAGATGTACCTGCCCAGAAATAGATCGAGTATCATCAACAAAATACCTAGGAGTGACTCTTGATCAGCACATTCGCTGGACCGAGCACATCTCGAATTTAAATAAACGACTGAGAGCATTACTGCACATATTTTACACTATAAGAGATATCCTCTCACGCAAAAACCTACTAATGCTTTATACTTCCCTAGTAGAATCCATCAATGTATAATTCAAGTTCACACAACTAAATACTCACTTCGAAGCAGATTTGTCCAACCAACCAGACAAAATAGTAATGAAGAATTAGTAATACATACATTTAAAAAAGCTATAACCCAGAGAACGTTTCTATTTTTCGGTCCAAAATTTTACAACGAAATACCAGTACATTTAAAAAAAATTAACAAACTGAGAAATTTCAAAACTGAATTAAAGAACTATATCCTGAAAAACAAGAAACTTTTTATAAAATACAACGATAGTTGTATTTTATAGCAACATATTTTGTTGCTATCCCTGTTCTCTACAAATCGTTGAATGTCTTTCAGAATTTTGGTAAAAATACGTGCACACATTAAATACACAGGTGTTTTGAAGTTATGCTTCACATAAAAGTTAATTTTTCAAATAATTTTTAGGATAATTTTATGTACAATACTAATAGTTTTGTTTTAGAGAACCCTTGGATAAAAGACACACACACATGCAATTATGCCTAGGTATGTTTTACTCAGAGAGCAAATCTAACCTCATTTTGTGAAAAAATTGTAATATTTTTTTTTGTACATGCAATACTTGGATAAACTTGAAACCTGAAAAACTTGACATGTGAAAATAATAACGATCTCGCATCCCAACAAACCACTTTACAATCTGCTGATATCGCCATCAGAAATGAGTTAGAGACTCTGGCTGAGTTTTGATCAATACTTGGTACTTTATTCTCTACTAAGTGTCCAGGATATCTGGCCTAGAGGCAGACTACTTCTTCAAGTTATTAATTGCTCGTCGAACTTCATCTAGGGTTTTTATTCGATTGTGTAGTTCATTGTATTCAATTCTCTATAGCGACCCACATCGTATCAGTGTAGAGTGCTCTGCTTGATGGTGAGCAACATGATTTGACTCATTGTGTAATGAACACCCTGTTAAATTTGCTGTATGAAGAGTACGAAAGGCAAATTGATTTGATCTGTTGATCTGATTAGCGAAAGTATAGAATTCAATTTGTCGAAGGTCGATTTTTCGGTTCCAACTTCTCAATGGAACGGAGCTATATAACCTTGCTGGCTAAGATGTTGGACATATGAGTGATTGCTAGCGATCTGCTTAAACAAAATCAGGCAAAACATCCTGCATTACTGTCTACTTGATATCCGGAAATGATGCACCGATCATGTTCTTTCCCCCAAAACTCATATGCTACTAAAAGCACACCTGCAATAACCAATGGTCACACTTCACATAGAGAGATCATTGGGTAGGAAAACTGTGTGCACTGAGAAGACAATAGAGCAAAGAATGACAGCGTTCTTCTTCGGTCCAACTGACATTTCTGCGTTTCTGTGGCAACTTGATATGCTCTCAAAATTTTTAGTTGGTTACGGCATAATTCGACGAGAGACTCTCTTGATCAGAGCAATCGGTTCAATAGAGAGGACAGAATCTGCGAAGTTCGAAGAGAAAACGATATTGTTTCACCTGGAACTGAAAGCTGTCGGCTTTCTAACTCTTCTCCGCCAGAGGATGAGAAATAAATAGTATCAATGACTTTGGCACTCTTCATTTCTTATAACGGATTCCATATCTGCTAAAGAATAAGGCAACACCAGGTTGTGATGTCCCTGAAAGAAGGGATGATGAAGCACTCGTAAGCTCTGCATTCCCTATGACCTGGCCAGTCATAGGGAATCCCTAAGTTTTTGATTTGAGCCCTATAGACCCCAGGAAAAAAAATGTTTCAGTGCTCTAATAATTGAGAAAAACATGCATCCGTTATTCTTGTGTAACCTTGAGAGAAAACTCTTTGGCATCGAAAACTAAACCTAGTTCATCAACAAAAGAAATACCCCAATGTCTACTTTCTCATGATCACAGACCATGTACTGGACAGGATCCAAACTATCGATGACTTCACAAGCTCCATTCAATACTCATTCTGTTATGAAGACATTTTTTTCTGAAAAGTCTGCGCCTCCTCGTCATCGAAGAAAGTATAACCGTGGAATAGCATAAATATGATCTGTTATTGAAACTATTGATGATATGAAAGGTATGATCCAAAGACAACTCAACTCACCTACAACTGGTCCTAAGACCACGAATGTTATTCCACTCACTGCAAACTGTAAGCCGTAAGCTGCTGGCAGTCGTTCTAGAGGTACGTGTGATGGAATCACTAAGATCATGAATATTGTTCTGAGCGCTTTGCCACTTCCTATGATGACGGCCACAACCATTCCTATGTAGTAACTCTGTGTGTGGACCAGTACTGAAATGACAGTCAAATTTTCAGTCGACCCTAAACATCTATGTTGAATTTTTTGCAGGTTAGTACCAAGAGGTAAGAAAATGAGATAGCAGATCATACTCACAGACTCTCCCTAATGCCATACTCATAACACCAAGAAGGAAGTACGTCCTGTTGCTCCACCCTATCCTGTCAGCAACCACGGAGCTGATGAGTCTAACAACGATATCTGTGGCGGCTAAAAGTGACATGAAGTTGGCCGTTTCATATTCCGTAAAATTGAATTCGGCTAAAATTATAGGCGTCGCCAGGCTGAAATTCATCTCAGTCACGTTCGCAAAAGTCAGACCCAAGTTGAGAGCAACATAAGTTGGGTCTTTCAAGAGATCTATGTCAAAATAGTGGCAAAACTTTTGCCAAATGCTGTCGAGCGGTTTGGTAGCCGTTTCAACGACTACAGGATTCCCAGACACTGATTCATCTAAAATTTCTTTCTGTTCCATATCGAGCGCCTTGAAAGTCAAGAGAGAGACACCTCCTGCTACCACATTGTTATCTTGTTGTTGAATGGAGGCTTCGTTTTCATTGGCATTCGATTCGTTCTTCTGTTGAGTATTCATAGATTGTTTCTTGCCTTTCCCGTTTTCGTCGACCAAATCAAACGCGCTCCTCTGTGATGATAGTATATTCTCCTGGTACAGGTCTCTCGTATCATTGTGAGTAACTCTTGAGTTCAATACTGGTGTGCTAGGTTCTGAAGCACAATATCCTTCGTTTGAGAAGAACTGATTGGAGTTTTCTAGACTTTGCTTGTCGCTATCGAAACTTTTTTCTGGTTCAATAGTTGGTTCCTGAAACAGAGTCGTACATGTCATGAAGAAACTCCAAACTCTTATCCCTACGAATAATATATGGGAGAAGTAGACCCAAAATGATGTTGCAAAGAGAACTTTCTTACCCTATAAGGTGTATGCCACTCGACTGGTTGGAGGAAGAGCGCACAGGCAAAAGAGTGCATGGCAACACCGGCAAAAATGAATATCAATCCATTCACTCCATAAATATGTTCGAGAAATACCATAATGTAGGGACAAACTATAGGACCAAAGCCTGTGAGTGTCCAGGAATAGCCTGTAGCTGATCTTCTTTTCTCTTTGAAGTAGGTGTTGATGGCTAAAGAGTTTGCTGATTCCAGTAAACCAAAACTGGCTCCTGCAATGATAGTGATAATGTCAGAAGGTGAGCTACTTTTTCTCTCGGCTTGACCTAGAGATGGCGGTACCCGTAACATAAAGAATACATGAGTATATTTAAGACCAGAAACACACACAATTTGATAATACAATTAGGGAAACAACTACGCGTAGAGCACTCACAAGTACTTTACATTGATAAATATAATACTATACTGAAAAAAGCGGTGGCCTTCTAACTATTTTTCCAGTCACCACAATGTAGATGGTCATTATTTTAAAGCTATCTTGAGAAGACAGACTTCGCGGACTTGTTGTAAACCTTAAGATATGAATAATATGTGGTAGATTGTTTTGTTGTGTGACCACACTTTTGTCAGAGTAAATTTCATTCTATAGTCCGTTCATAATTTGTTGATAGCTCACTGCAAGTTTGACCCTCATTAGAGAACTGAAATACAGAGAGGACAGCTAATATGATATAATAACAAAAACCAAACTAAAACTGGCAGTTTAAGATGTTTTCGACTAACCCACCTTGTATCTGAAGAAATACAATACAGCTATAAAACTTTTAATCCGATTATGTAGGTATTTTGAGTGGNCAAGCAATCAAACAAAACAAGCAGGAACGAAAGGTACGTATATGTTTGTAGGAATATGAAAAAAAGTTACTCACGCACTGCACAAAATTCGCAAAATAAATATTAGAGACGTTAATTACTGCCGTAGACGCCGAAACACCAACGAGCCGTAAATTAAATGCGATTAAAAAATGTACTAAACCAAAAATTATTTTCGTTCGTAACAACTTCACCCTTTCAAGGCAAGTTTCGAATATAAACTGAAGCTTTATATTTAATGAATAAACACCTCAGGAACCTCCGCCTATGATTTTACGAGTTTTACGACCGTTTTATGACTTGGGCCCTCATTTTGTGCTATCGACAAATTATGAACGGACTATAGATCTGGCTTCGTTCAGGAAATTCATGGTGTGGTTGTTGGAGTAAAAAAAAAACTTCAAATTATGAGAGATCGACGGGTTTTTTCTTAAAAACCCCCATCAAAGGGTATCCACAACCATACAAATCGAACCGCTCTATATCGACGATCCTTCGGTTATAATATATATAGTTTGAATAATATTCCTCAAAAATATAAAGTTAGTAAAGTTTCTTTATTTAAGTGCTGTTACAAAAAATATCTCATCGCTGCTCAATCAGAAAGTCATTGATTTCATTGATTTTACACTTCTGAAAAATTTTCAGTATAAACATCCAACATCTTTTCTCTCCCTCTTTTCTCTCTCGTTCCTTTTTTCTCTTCTTTTTTGTTTTTTCTATAGTTTAGTTTTTTTTTCTTCCAGGCTAGAAATAAGATCAACAGTACCCTTCCGGTATATGTTGTTCCTAGCCTCATTTGTAGTTTTTTATTACTTTCATAGATTGAATAATTATTGTGTTTATATGTAATAAGAAACTACAAATAAATATTATTAGTTGTATTGTCATTAATAAGGCTTCTGAAGGTCTACAATGTTACAAAACACTCTAGAACATCAGGTACTGTTCCGGAAGTCTAGACTAAACTATTTTGAACATTCCACAACGTTCCAGAATGTTCCAGAAAACTCTCGAATCCCCTCTAACATTCAAAGACGGGTCGATTTGCTAGTTTGATAACGTTAAAAACACCCTCAAGTAACAGTATTTACAAATTCGCTATCGAGAAATTACATGACGAGTATTTATGTTTACTTACCGTAACATAAAGAATACATGAGTATATGAGACCAGAAAGACACACAATTTGATAACACAATTAGGGAAACAACTACGCCAAGAGCACTCACAAGGGCTACTTGTCTGTGAGAGAATAGTTTGAATATTGGGCCATTCAGTAAACCTGAAAAAAATAAACAAGATGTAAGTGTTGTGCATTGCTATTAATCAGATTTATTCAAAACAATCATTAGTCGAGTGGTAGTAGGTGTTTCATCCGAAATGAGAGATATACACCCTCATTTTGTTGTTTTGACAGTTGTCTCAAAAGTCTCATGTAATCTAGTTTCTGCGCCTAAAGTTATTCAAGGTCAAAGGTCGCAAAAGTCAGTGTTTCGCGATTATCTCGGTTTCTATAGCTCTAATAATGTTAAAATTCTTCATAAAAATGGTAAAAAAATGAAATATGCTCCACCGTTTTCCAGATACAGGGCAGCACTCAGTCATACTATCTGAAATGCAAGGTAAACCGTCAACATCAACCGAGATAATCGCGAAAAACTGTTTTTCGTCACCTTTGACCTTGAATAACTTCCGGCGCAGACACAAAATTTCACGAGATTTCTCAGACAACTTTGAGAACACCAAAATGAAAATTGAGGTTGACTTATTTTGTTTGCTCACGTGACGGGACATTTTTTTTTCTTTGGAAATGGACGTTGAACCGAAGTGTAAACTATTTTCATCAAATAACATCGTAGTGAATCAAATGTTGACGAGATGTGAAAACTTCAATTTTTCATTCAAATTGACTCTCGGTTACAATTGGTATCAATTTCTGAAGTTAACATCTCAATTTCAATATTTTTTAAAAATGTTTCTACGCTACATTCGACAAAGAAATCTATATTCCTCAAACAGTTTGCAAGAGAACACATATTGTATAATTGTTGACAAAAAGTGTGGATTAACTACTTTATTATGCAATAGCTTATAAAAAAATAAAAGAAAAGAAATTTTTCTTCTAAATTCTGAGGTTGTGAATTTGAATTCATTCAAGAAAGTATGATAACTAAGATAGAAAACATATTCACCATGTTTTTTGTAATGTAGAAATCTTAAGATTTTTTTTCTGTACCTTTTCAATTTCATTTTTATGAACTGAATAATAAGAAGACTATACTATTGCACCATATTTCAGCATAATACGGACAAATGCGTTATAAAGTGTTAGTAATGTTGATATATTTTTGTGAATTTGAATGAGTTCCTAATAATGAAGCCAAACATTCTATATGCTCTGTTCATAATATTGGTCATATGTTGCTCAAAAGTGACTTTTTCATCCAGTGTAACTTCCAAATCTCTACATACTGTCTTCTTGGCTAAATATTCATTGTTTATCTTATACTGTAAATCATTCCGTAGCTTTTTCCTAGTATTTGGCATATTAAAGCATTCGTCAACTTTAAATGTGAGGCGATTTGACAGGGACCAATCTATCTACCTCATTTTCTAGCAAAATCACATCTTCTTGACTTTTGGTTTCCTTGAACAATTTGAAATCATCTACCTATCGCAGATCATCTACCAGTGATAAAAAGAAGAGGGGTCCTAGATTGGAACCTTGGGGTATACCAGATCATGGGTAAATGGTCATAACATTGAAACCAAAGTCCAATTGTCCCAATGAAAGAACCCATGAGAGGCAAGACTAAAAAAGTACGCCAAATTCGAAGTAATGTCGAAGTTCTGCTCACTGCTTTCTTCGATTACCGTGGCGAAGTGCATCAGGAGTTCTTGCCACATGGTTGTACGGTCAACAAGGAGTATTATCTTGAAGTTATGTCCGGTATCGTGAAGAAACATGACTTTTTCGTAATTTTTTGCCAAAAACAACACCGCTATAATGCCTCAGCCACTGTATTTACCAGATTTGCCCCCCCCCCTGCGCCATCAGAGAACATTAAATTGAATCAGAAAATCGGGTTATTTCTATCGAACATTTCTCTCATGACAGATAACGTCCTTTCCAAAAAAATTTCGTTTAAAAAAATAAGTCAACGCTGAACAGTGCGAGAAATAATGGACAACACTCTTTCATTCAGAAAAGCCTAAAACTCACCTACTCCGGTATTGAAAGCCACACATAAATTCAATATCGTTAAAGTTTGACTAGTATCTATTCCTACAAGCGCAAATTTTTCTTTGAAAACTAATCCAAACTGATGGAACATCGGAAAAGAAAACAGCTGAAAAATAAGAAACAGTAAATAACTTCTGGTATGGAAATAATAACCTTATCACTGAATAATTACTCAACTTACATTGCCAAAACCACAGGCCACGACAAGCAACCAGCCCCATCCTCCATCTGGTGGTTTGAAATCTGGATCCCCCACTCTAACCCTCCGCCTTTTTTCTTTTCTGTGTGATACGACAGTGGGGTGACTGCTGGATTTTATGTTCATTATCAGTGGCTCTGAAAAAATCATATGGTTTTCATTCAAAAGGCTTGCTTCAAAAAGTATATTGGTCAGATCTGAGGATAGGCACAAACTCGTTTTAAAGGACACATGGCAAACTTCAGATAATAAATGGAAGTATCATTCGTAGAAAACAATGGAATAGGTGATAATAGGTCAGGATATGAGGAAGGAATAACACTTAAAAGGGTAGGTTGGAGTATTTAGATAGAATAAGTAGATAGGATAAAGTGAAAGATATTTGAGAATATATCAGAATATGATAATGATAACACAACACAACAAAGTTTTTGTTTCGGGGTTGAAATTAGATGATTTTAATGTATTTCCACGTGTTAAAACCGAAAGTGACCATAAAAATAAGTAATTTCTCTTTCAGAACTGAGAGTATTGTTTACTTTCACTATTTGCCTTCTGCTTCTGAAAAGTAGTTGTGTTTTGCCTCGTATTCCTGATTTATTTAATACCTCCAACAACTGATCGTGGTCAACAGTGTCGAAAGCTTTTGCTAAGTCTAAAAATACACATAATGCCGTCTCTGATCTATGTGAACGTTTATTTCTCCTGTTAGTGCAGCAATTGCATCATTAGTTGAGAGACCTTTTCTAAAACCATATTGTTTGCAAGATAGAATAGGTAGATAGGATAAAGTGAAAGATATTTGAGAATATATCCGAATATAATAATAATAATGATAACAGGTATAAAAATACTCAGGTTGGTTAATATCGTTTTGGCAAAACGATAACCAGAATCGGCGGTTCAAGGAGAGGATGAAAGTGGAAGAAAAAATGTTATGAAAGAGGTGACTAGATAAAAACATAATAGCCTTGAAGTAAATAGCATACAGGACGGTGAAGAAATAACCAAAGACTACAAATGTATGGGTCTACAATGCTGTGGCATGAATTCTTGTAGAATAAAGGTCCAAAATAAAGATGACAAATCAATTTATCATTCACGATGAACAACGTTTCTCAAATTAATCTCTTGAAATATAAACGCAGCATGAAATGAAAGGGGAAAATCTTCCAGAGGGAAATTTCTTTGGAGTGAACCATCTCCGTTCCTGATTTCCCAGAAATGGAAATGGACATGCCATTCGAGCACGCAATATTCTGCAGCATTCCTGTAGATTCCAGGATTTGTGACATTCCAGCCAGTACAATATCAACAAGAGTTTCTCGAATTCTCGTGTATATTTTAGCGAAATTCCAATAACTGAATGTGCTGGAATTCCGATGTCATCCTAAAAGTATCAGTATTTCAGACGTATAGAAGGTGACCACGAAATGAGAGGAAAAATAATGAAATATTTCTCAAGATATCTTGTTTTTTTGCATGCGTTCGGTTGAATGTCAACTTTGATCAAACTTTGTAGAAGGGGAGTGATATGAAATCATTATTGAAAATTGTATGAGAATTGACTTACAAATTTTCCACTGGGCAAATATTCATCCAAACACTTAAGTGTATGTTTATTATTACGGTTGTAGGATTGATCGAAAATTCAAACAATACTAATTATATTGAAGTTTTTCGTACTGCTGAAAAATAAGTCATTTCAACCATTGACGTCGCATATTATCCATCAATGATTGATTACTAGCAATTTGCTTTACTTTATGTAACTGTTGTTTACCGAACTATTACGAAAAAATGATAAAGGGAAAGTTATTCTCAATAATTGACGAACACAAATATTCACATTGGCCTATTATAATTATTTATTATTATCGCATTTAGTTTCTAGATTATTCGAACTATTCAGGAACCATTCATTACTATTCATATCATTATTTTTACTATCGACCTACTTCAGGTATTTTCATTTTCCACCATCTAAAATATATCAAAATTGTAATGTAGATCTGTTCTTGTTTGCGTTTGCACAACCAAAATGAAATTTCACATAGAGTGTGTATAAATATATCTATCTATATCTATATCTATCCATATCTATACATTGTTACAGCATGATACGTAAAGGATCGTTCATAGATAGTGCTGTTATGATTCGGAATCTCGAAATTTTCTTGGATGTATCTGATATCTGGGAACAGAATCTAGAGGTTTCTAGCCGATCGTGTAGAAAAGCCACTTCTTTTGTTCACAGTTTTTCAGCTACGAATCAAAAAGTCTCCTCAACCTGGGGTTTCTGTGAAGGACAATATGAATTCTGCTGCAAAAAACTGCAATATCTAAGCCATCTGAGGTATTCTTTGAATGGAAATGGTTGAAGTAAATAAACAATCGACAAAAAAAGCGTATGACACGTTGGCAAAAACAGTTTCTTGGTCGAAAAACTTTATTTTCACCATTGGGTCATAGCGTGCTATTTTTGAAACATCCAACAGAAAACGCTTCACTCGAATTTAACAAAATTCTTCAGGGGTTGAGCACCCTTCAAAATAGAATAAAAGTCTAGCAGAAATTCAGTAATTAGCAAGGAAAATCTGATTTTCCCGGACTACAGGTTCGATCCTATTCATCTGCCTCTGAATCTACAGTTGTTTTTCACCGCAACAAATGAATGTTCAAATACTCACTTCTCACTAGCCTAACGTCACTTTCTCCACAGCACACTCGGCGATGAACAGCTCAATTACCACAAAAACAAAAATCTACGACAAGCACTCCCGGCACAGTCGATCGAACACAAACAGGTGAGTTCTGGAAATTGAAGAAAACTTGTAAGTGAATGTGCATCACGGTTACCATTACAATATATGGTATTTCCAAGTCCTCCGGCCTGCCAAGTCCGCAGCGGACCGACTTTAAGAACCTGATATGTAAATGGGGATAATGAAGAGATTCGAGTTGGTTTAGTATAAACCAGATTCACTTCTTCGGTAGACGAGGATTTCACCCCAAGATATCATTTAGGAAACATACAATGACGACGTATAAAGTCCCCATTTCTTGTTTACTTTTAAATGTAAACGTGAAACAATAATATTTTTGGTACTTTCTCATAAATTGACCCTGATGTGGTCGTCAAGCAGGCGCCTTACTCAATGGGTGGTCCCAGAAATACCCGCCACAACAAAGAAAACATAAAAATTTTGGAAAAAGGATATTTACTTCTCAACATATTCTTCTTGCAGCTCTATACACTTTTCCCAACGACGTTCAATAAGTTCGATATCGTTTTCATGAAAAAATCTGTCTCGCTCCTCAAAATAGCCAATAACTGCCGAGATCACTTCTTGCCCTTCAAAATAGCCAATTTTGAAGAGCAAGAAGCCAAAACTGCGAGTTAGTCTGCGTAGGAAAGGCGAAGGAAGCGAAACTGTCTATTGTGAAATAAAGAATCAAACCGTTATATTTAACACCTCGACACGCGTTTCGGCCACCAAGTGATCATCTTCAGAAGGAGATGATTACTTGTTTGATCTTCCTCTTGAAGATGATCACTTGGTGATCGAAACACGT